TGTTTATGCCCAGGTTCTTCTTTGGGGGGATGGACTGTGTGTGTCAGTGTGGGATTTTTTTTTTTTTTGTAGACAGGTTTTCAGAAATGGTCCTGCAAATAGCTGGTATGTGACCAACCGCCAGCCCCTTCTGCCCACAGGGCTAGCCTGGGAGCTAGAATTGAGCTTTTTGTTGACTGCTTTTCTCTGGGAAGTCTGTTAGTTTCAGTTCACTACCAGTTTCTCCAAGATGGTTGAATGTGTTGTTATTTTCCCCAGACTGGCCACTCTGCCCACACACAGGCTAGATCATCTAAGCACTCTGTCCCACTCCTACCAGGCAGAAGTGAAAATTTCCCTCTGTTTATCAGGCCACCAATTTTGTCTAGGAAGGATACAATCTGCCCATAAGCTGTGCTGGACTATGTGTTTCCCTCTAGAGTAGATGATGTGCCTGCTCACCTGGAGGGGTTGTAGTTTTACTCGGTGGTATCTAGGGTCAGCCTGTGTGGGTGCAGGTAGATGGCAGTCAGAGGTTTCATGTCCATGAATTTGGGCAGGTCCAGGATGTCCCAGATGCTTGCAGAACCCATTCTGTAGTTCTCTGTGTTGTGTTTTTGCTCTTCAGAAAAAGGAGAAAAGAACAGGGGGAGAGGGGAGAAAGAAAAAACAGCTTTCTAGCAGCGCCTGGGCTTCTAGGGCTGTTATGTGCTATAAAAAGCTAATTTAAAGGTTGATTGTTGTACATTATGTTCCCCCTATGTATTGGTGGTATCTCAGTTGGTGAAAAAAGCCAGTTTATCTGATCCTTAATGCCATGAATCTGAAGTATTCTTTCGGACTCAGGGTTCCAGGGTCTGTTGGCTATCCACTATCTTGGTCTCCTCCTATTAGTATCATTTTTAAAACCACAAAGCTAGTAAATAAAAGAGCAAGAATCACCCTGTTTTTGGAAAGGGTAATATCTTTGCATCATTTCTATTCTGTTGTCATCTCAATTCCTTGTCCTATGTAATACACATAATCCAGGTGACTCTGTTTAGCAACAAACCTGTGGAATTGGTCTCTGAATTCAGCTGTCCTTTATAAATGATTGGCAGTTAGTGTTGAATTTCCAACTTGCAAGTTGCTTGTCCTCCTCTCAACAAAGGAGTTTTTGGAGTTAGAATTACTTTAAAATCCCTCATCTCCTACAGACTGCCCTTCCTTTGCCTGTCTTTCTTGTTCCAGGAAGGGAGAAACCACACAAATATTGTCTATAAATGCTGCTGGGCCCTCCTCAGCAGTACAAACTGGGCAATCACCCACTTCCCAGCTGTCCCAGGTAGGTTCTGATCTGATTAATCAAAGGTGGCAAAACATATTCAACTGTACTCTTTCCAGTTATGGGTAAAGGTCTTCAGGCCTTGAGTCACTCAAGTTCTATTAATAAATGGCAGTGAGAAAAATTGAAATAGTAAAGCATATATTCTATAAAAGGAAAGCAAAAATTCTTTGATAGAATCTTGCACCTCCTAAATTTTGTTCTGTAATTCTCCTACCATGATAAAACAGCTCCCTTTTGGGGCTCCTCCCTCTGATATGGTTGTCAGACCTCTGTGGCAACTTCAGATGTTATGAAATTATTTGCATAACTTTAGCTTGTCCTATAGCTATGGATTCCCTTTAATAACTATTCTTCATTAAACAAATCCTTTACATTATGCTTGAGATTACTATAAGATATTTAATTATCATAGAACTTCTTGATTGGGTTAAAATTGTGCTGCTTTAAGCATAATTGTTAACTACTAGCTTTCTTTCCCTCTAAAGCACTACTGTACTAAAGTCTTGAAATTATTTCCTCTTTCTGAGTATCTTTTGGTTAATTTTCATAACAGTGATCTTGATTTCAAGTGAATTTTTATCTGATCCTCTGCCCTCAGGAAAAAAATAAGTGTATTTTCCAAAGAAACAAATCTGTCAGTACCTTTATATTTGGACCATTGTTAACTTAATTGAAAATATTTTATTTGTAACATAAGCAGGCTTGCTTTTCATACACATTAAACATATAAATAAAATAGAATTTTCTAGGAGGGTGGCCAAATTGGTTTGAAATATCTTATGTCAAAGCAGATTGCTTTTTTATTTGCTTTCGTGCCAGACCTCTTGGGTTCAAACCCCAGCTCCAAAGTTTACATGTTAAATGATTTTAAAGTTATACTATGTAACCTCTTTGGGCCACCAGTTCCTCACCTGCAAAATGGGTGTGATAATAGTACCTATATTATTTGATGTAATAAAGACTAAGCTACTCCATATAAAATTAAAATTGGGTTTACTAAGTCCATTTTTGCTTAAGGTTTCTTTTTATCGCTTCAAAATAAATATCTAATTATTTTTCCTTATTTTTACCCAGCAAACAATAATAATGATGATATCCCATCATATCAAAGAAACTAGAAATTGAATCATACAAGCCAAACATGCAAAAAGGCTCATTTGCATTATTAATGCTTGGTTTTCCCAACGTACTGCAGACAATATAAAAGAGCCATGTGTTATTGTGTTTATCCAAGGTTAGCATTACATAATTATTTAAAATAATTATTTATTTGAAATATATGTATTTGCATTCATGGACAAGATAAAATGGAAGCAAAGGATGTGGTAATCTGAGAGACAAGGAAGATAGAGGGTAAATTTTCACCTGGAGGCAAAAGAAAATTGACTCTTGAACAGATAAGTGGTAGGTCTCCAGAAGTAGATGATTGATTTCTTTTTTTTCCACTTAGGGAAGTCTGATTAAAAAAAAAATTTTTTTTTGGTGGCATTGGGGTTTGAACTCAGGGCTTCATGCTTGCTAGGTAGGCAGACACTCTTACTGCTTGAGCCACTTGCCCATAATTTTTAAAGACTGTATTTATGCAGGTGTGCAATTGTGATTGGAAGCATGGGAGAAAGATGTAAAACATTTTAAATAATGTCAGCTAAACTGTTACTAATGCTTACATCTTTGTGATGAGATTGCAAGTGATTTGTTTTCTTTTTAAGCTGTCTCTTCATTGGTAACATTTTACATAATTAAAATTTGCTTTCTGAAAGTTACTTTATATAATTAAAATTGCTGGTTGTAAAAATGACAATAAGAAGTTAGCAATATACACTTTTTTAGGCAATAATGGAGTTTAAACTCAGGGCCTCACACTTTGCTAGGCCAGCACTCTTAATCTACACCCCCAGCCCTTTTTTGCTTTTTTTGTTATGTTTAAGGTAGGATCTTGTATTTTTGCCTAACACTAGCCTCAACAAGTCATGGTTTTTACATAAAATACAAAACCTAATCCAAAGTAAGACTCTGAGCACCACAGTTACATGTTTTATAGTCGTTACATCTTATTTACTTAGTCACACAGCCTTTTAAAAGCACTCTGTGGTATAGTAGTGATGCAAAGTCATCAGTGTTTTACCTGAAACCAAGATATTCTCTAAGGTACATTGCAATGCAACATTATGTTTTTCTAAGATGAAATTGGTATATGTTTATGAGAAATATTTATGATTTACTAGAGCTGTGTACATATTCATAATGAATGTACTTTTAAAAATCAAGTGAAAATATGTAAGATCTAATATAAAAAGGATCCCAAAGTAGAAACAAATATGCCCCAGATACAGCATTCATTTCAGGATGACACCAAAATCCTGAAATCATCAAATGACTCTATTGCTTCACTAACAATGTAATCACAGGTGAAAACTCATTAAATTTATAGATATATGAAGCTTCTTTATTCTGTGTGGTGCTGGCGATGGAACCCAGGGCCTAAGTGCATGCCAGGCAAGCCCTCTACCACTGAGCTGCATCCCCAGCCTAAAGCATTTTAAAAATAATAAACGTGCTTTTAAAATTATACACTGTTGGAGGCCGGGTATGGTGCTCACATCTGTAATCCTGGCTACTTGAGAGACAGAGATTGAGAGGATCACAGTTCAAGGCCAGTCAGGACAAAAAGTCAGCAAGACCCCACCTCAATCAATAATCCAGGCATCATGTAATACCTGAAAATAAATATGATTCTAAAAAAAGTACTTATTGACTAAGTTTAAACGTTGTAAAATGGAGTCAAGGGCCAAGAATGTAGCTCAGTGGAATAGAACTTGACTAGCATGCGCCAGGCCCTGGATTTGATCCCCAGCACCACAAATGATGATGGCAGTGGTGGTGATGATGATGATGATGATGATGATGATTTCAGAACAAGCATAAGCTAGGACTATCTTCTGCAAACCAGGACATGGTCATTTTTACTTTTAATGCTGTATGTAATCTGTGCCTTTTCTTTCCAGTACTACAAAAATAGTGTTGTAGTTTGCGTGTGAAATTTCCCCCAAATGACACATGTATTGAAATTTGGTCTCTAGCTGGTGTATCCAATCATTGAGAGGTGATGGGATCATGAAGGTTCTGACCCTCATGGATTCAGAACTTGATGGTATTATTGGGACCAGTTGGAGGAAGTAGGTCAGTTGGGGCATTTGGGGAGGGCAGGGGTGGTATATCTTGTACCAGGCCACTTCCTTGGTCCCTTTCTGGGTCCCTTTCTGCTTCCTGCCATGAGGTAATAATCTCTGCTCCACCACACACTTCCACTATGATGTACTGCCTCACTAGAGGCCCAGAAACAATAGAAGCAGTGACCATGGACAGGTGGACTTAACCTTCTGAAACCATGAGCCAAAATAAATCCTTCCTCTTTTTAAAATGATTCTCTCAGGTATCCATCACAGTGATGAGAAAGAGTGGGAGGAGAGGAGAGGAGAGGAGAGGAGAAGGGGAAGGGAAAGGGAAAGAGAAAGAGAAAGAAACAAAGAAATGGAGCCAATAGTATTGAGATTACGGTAACCTTTCCAGCAAGGTATGGGATAGATTAATGATTAATCAGTCATTTTGAACTAGAAACTTGAGTATAATATGTAAAAAAATTAATAGTAATCCTTAACTATTTATTGTTTATATGCCAGAGAATCAATCAGACATGTTGTGTATGTTATTTAATGCTGAGACAACCTATGAGGTAGGTTTGTATTATCTCATATTATAGGTGAGGTTAACTAAGGCCTAAAGGAAGGAGTTGTCCAAATCTCTTTAAGTAGTAACTGGGTCTAGTTTCCTTTGTATTCTTTTAAATGTTTTCCTCACAAACGTTAAAGACATGAAATACTTGAGCAATCAGTTGTGATTAAATTTCAGTTTCAAAATTACCCTAATATGGTATCTATACTACCCTCAGGTCTCTCCTAGGAATAATATGTAATTTCAGTCTTCAGTGAAATGTGCAGTAAACTTTGCAGTTGGCAGTGTAATTGAGGAGGAATATCTGTTGGAGGAAGACTGCAAAAGGAACCATTAGAAAACAAAGTGTTCATCCATGGGGTGTTTGGGTACTACAACAGCCTAAACTAGCACACATTATTAAGAATGATGGTGATCATACAATGAGAACCTCAAAGGTGGATTTGGAGAGTGTCACTTGACTTATATTTATTTGTAAAGGAAAATTATTTGATATGATCTGAAAAGGAAAAAATGTTCATTCCTTATTTTTTCACTCTAAAATATCATAGCTGAAAATGTAAATAACTACAGGTCTTGAAAAAGATCCAGAGTGAGCACAATGATGCACAGATGATCTCCAACTAATAATGGTTTAAATTACAGTTTCCTGACATTGCAGTGGTGTGAAAGTGACATGTATTCAGTAGAAACTGTACTTTAAATTTTGATATTTTCCTGGGCTAGCGCTATGCAGTAAGATGCTCTCTTTGGGTGCTGGAGAGCAGCTAAAAGCTATAGCTTTCCACTTCACCATGTGATCACAAGGGGAAATGATCCAATCTGTACAGTGTGCTGTCTGCTAAGCTATAATGTTTGCTAATTAAGTTTATTCAATGCATATTCACTTAATGATATTTTCAACTTATGTCAGGTTTCCTGGGGCATAACCCCATTCTAAGTCGAGGAGTTTCTGCATTTGTAATTTTTTGTCATAGAAAATACAGGCTGTAGATCATTTTAACCAACAAACCTGGTTTGGGTCTTTTGTTCATTATATTCATTGAGCCCAGATGTTTGTTCATCTGATATTTTCTATCTTTTGAGTACTGATTTTCAATTGATATTGTTTTGTATTTTCAGAAGGAGTTTTGGAGCACTTACACAAAAGCGCAGCAAGGAGAGAGTAGCAGAGGAAGTGACTGGTTTCAGTTTTATCTTACCTTTCCATTAATCTTTGGCCTCTTCATTATCCTCCTTGTCATTTTCCTAATCTGGAGATGCTTCCTAAGAAACAAAACTCGAAGACAGACAGTGACTGAAGGCCACATTCCTTTCCCTCAGCACCTTAATATTATCACTCCGCCTCCACCACCAGATGAAGTATTTGATAGCAGTGGATTGTCTCCAGGCTTTCTGGAATATGTAGTTGGGCGCTCAGATTCTGTCTCCACTCGCCTGTCCAACTGTGATCCCCCACCGACCTATGAAGAAGCCACTGGCCAGGTGAACTTACGGAGGAGTGAAACAGAACCTCATTTAGACCCACCCCCAGAGTATGAGGACATTGTCAATTCTAACTCAGCCAGTGCCATTGCTATGGTGCCTGTGGTCACCACCATCAAATAAAGCTGCAAACTTCTTTTTACTCTAATCATTTTTAAAATACTAATGAAAGGACTTTCTAGCACTTTACCACTACATAAATGTGCATTGACTTATTTTATTAGAGTCTTATAGCATACCACTTCACACTTGCTGGTTTGATTTTCTTAATTTTGTTTCCCATTATAAAATCATTATCCAAACTCATTTTTGCTAGAGGAAATATGTGCAAAGGGAAAAGCATACCAGTGGGGGGGTCTCCATGGTATGTGGTGAGATATACATACATAATACATATGTATACATATATACGTAATATATATGTATTATGTATGTATACATATGGATATATCCACATGTGTGTATCAACCTAGTACATGTGCAACTGTCTTAAAAATTAACTTCTATCTAAATTACTTGTAAGGAGAATATTACTCACCAAAATTGGAAAAAGGGGGCACCAGAAATTTATATAATAGCCAGCAACATTCTGTAGAATTTTGCAAAAAGTATATACTTAGCATGCTTTCTAATTCTTACAAGCTTTTGTTAATCTCCTATTTCTTCTTCTACCTTCGAAGGGAAAAATACATGGAGTCATTCTCAATTTTAAAAACATCCCAGAAAGAGATACAGGAACAGAGCATGTGCACACACAGCAATAACTTGCTGATAGTGTACAACAAGAAAATCATTGGTTTTTCCTGGTATTTGGCTCATTTTGCCCTAGGGGTTTTCTTCTTGATTGACTCCTCCCCCCACTCCTAATAAAACAGTTTACTTAGCATCTCACGCTATTTGTACTAAAATGTTGGTGGGGAGGTTTTCCTGGCAATGGAATAATTTCTAAACTGGAAATAGGTATTAGTGACAGGCTGATTACACCTTTGCTCACTTGGGGGTGAGCAATAATTATTTTCTTCTCACTGTTTCATTGCTTTTTTTGCTTTACTATTTATTTTCTCTTTACCATCACACATTCTTCAAGCACCCCAGAATTTAGTTGAAATAAATAGTTTTGCCGAAGTCTTTGCCTAAAGATTATTAAGAGACAATTTTCTATTAAATTATAAACTGTGATTTTTGTATCACTCAGTGTGTGGAAGAAGATTGCAAAATGTGTGTTGTGGTAGGTGCACATCAAATCTAGTTATTGTTCCCACATAGATCTCATTGTTATTTTGTTTTGTATTTTCATCAGATTTTTTTCTAACTATAGGGATTTTACTTTTCCCTTGGAGCAGAGGGAACAGGCTGTTAATGAACTGCCAATGTAAACTGACTCAGAAAGGAAAAAAGGTCAAATGAGATGATGTGTGTATAACCAATTTGTACAATGTAAAGAACTATCCAAGTGTAAGATTCTAAAGTTATTATGGGGATTTGGGGAGAAATTTCTTCCTGTTTTTCTAAAATTGACCAGAGCTTTCACATAGTGAGAAATAGAGCCAGCTGCTCCATAAATAGCTAACATAGTCCTAATCTAAGTATGTGGGTTGTTACTTAACCCCTGCCATAATATGGTCTGCATAAAGTTGTGCCAATTTAAAGATGGTTGCCAACTCAGTACAAACAGGGCGAAATAATGTTGGAAAGGGAACTAAAGCAAATGTAGTTTAATAGATTTTGTAACTTTCATAGACTAAGAATGATTATATCTTGATAGTAGTCTCAGAAAGTACATGGTGATCTTTGGTTTCTAATTAAATCTCAAGGTGGGACAGTTTGATCCAGTTATTTATGTATGTACCCGTGTAGTTTGAGGGTTTTTTTTTAATGAAAATTAAAGCTCCTATGTTTTAAACTGTTTTTGTCATTAATACCAAGTTTTAAATGAGACCAGCAATTTTCAATGTAGAGCCCGTGGACCCCTGGAGTTCCTTGAAAGCAGTTAAGGGAATTTATGAGGAGCCAAAACTTTGAGAACTACAGAATTAGACAAAGACACAGGATGTTGTATTACTAGTTATCTTTTCTTGCAGCTTTGTTTTACATTCTGAATTCTTGGTATTGGATTTAATGCTGCCTCTTAAAGGTGTCTGAATTGCAGTATAAGAATGAATGTTGATCCTTGAAGCAAAAGTCATGTTTAAGCTGATCAATAACTGTAGATTTTTAATTATTAGTTAAAGAAAACACTGCTCCATAGTAATAGCTGCATCAGCAACAGATCTCATGGCAGCTTTTGCATGATAATGAGAGAATAAACAACATACTACTGTCATCAAAAACATTGTCTGAGATTTGTTTTGTTTGAATATAGTCTGGGTTTTTAAATTTTTTAAATCCCTTTTGCTACCCCATCTGGTTTTATAAACCGAGTTTCTTAAACATTTAATTATATTAAAAGGCTATCTTGAATAATATATATTTTTAGCTTTTGCCTTTCCTTACCTGACTGAGTATTACATTCGCCTTTGATTGTTTTATAATAGGTTTATTTTGCAGAATGTGATTAGTACTTTTTTAAGCAGTAACTAAACTGAATCAATCAGTTTGTATTTAAATAAAAGAATGTGCTCAGTGGTCTTCCAGTGGAATAATTTGCAAGCCCTATATGCATTAGTTAATCTGGAATCCTAAAAACTGGCAACTTTTTGCTTCCTTACTCTAAATATCACAATAAATTGTATTTGTTTTTAAAAACAAAATTATTTTTTCTTTTCCTATTGACCAGTGCAGAGATGTTGTTTTGTTTCATTGCTAATGATGATTTCTTCAAGATTGATTATCTAATCCAGTAATGTGGAGGGTAAATTTAACTCAGTTCCTGTGTATTTTATTATAAATATTTCACATGTTTTAAATCTTGGTTTACATTAAATTTATGGTATTTAACTATTTTTGTATGTTTATGATTAGATAGGGTTTTCTTATGTTTCTGTGTTTTTGGTATGCTAAATAAAGCTATTTTTTAAACCAAAAGGTTTTTGTCTGCCATGTGTTAATCATATTATGGTTCAGTGATAACATACTGTATAAAGCTCTTATTATGTTCTTTTTAATAAAGTAAAATATTATGGTTTTTTTTCTTATGGATCTAGGGTTTATTGCTCAGTAAATAAATCAGAAATCATCTGTTGAAAACTTCAGGATATTTTCAGCATAAAAAGAGAACTTTCTGTACTACTTCCTTAGTGCCCTTGGCATGTTCCAAAAGAATAATGACCTCTCACTTTAGTGTAGTTTGTCAAATCTTGGGAGGTTGTGTCTACAGATATTCAAAGCGCTGGGTTTTTTTTCTGCTGTAGCAGAAACAGCTTGCTTTTGAAGATAAGAAAAGCATAAGATGAAAACATTATAACCGTAGGACATTTTCGCTAAGTCAGCTACCTCAAAGAGTAAAAAGCTGATGCAACAAATCATTAACCAAGCAAATGTAAATATGAGATGATCCATCATAGTATAAAAATTTAAATTATGGTATATTCTGGGAGAAATTTTAAATGTAAATTATAAGTATCTGTTTTGTAAGCATAAGTCCCAGAGTTGTCCAAGAAGGAATGAAAAGGTACTTTTTAAAATAATATACAAATTTTCTAAAAATTTATGTCTTTCATCTTGATAAACACAACACCATGAAACCAACCACCTATCAAGATATTTCTTAGAACCCCAAGAAGGCTTTCTCATACCCTCTCCTTAAGAATAACACTACTCTTACATTGTTCATAATAAAGATCACTTTTTTAAAGTAATAGTACTTGACTGTGGCCACAGTGGACTTGCCTTTTTCTTTTTAATAAGTTCTTAAGATAGTTCAGAAAGTATCAAGATAGATGTTTCTAAGCTGCTCTTTCATTTCCTAGCCTTCCTTGAAATCACCTATTTGTTTTCTTAGACTCTGTACATTCCTAAAGCTCTTTTAAGGCAAGAATTATGTTTAATCCTTTTAACTCCCTTCCCCAAATACATCAAATGCCTAAAAGTGACAGCCTCCTTTTTGTAGGCTATGAATTGATCAAAGCATTAGTAGTTGTCTAACTGGTCTCCTTACTGCATATCCTTCTTCTGTAATTGTTACTATTGTGGTGTTTTGTTTCATTTTTTTAGTGCTGTGTGCATGCGAACACAGTCTCTACCAATGAGCTACACTCTGCCTCTCCTCTTACCCCTGCCTTTTTCTTAAACTTCATGACACTTTCTTCTCAGTAATTTTATAGACTTAATCTATTTCTATGTTTTTGTAACTCTTAAAACACTCTACAGTCTGGCTCCACATGCTTATCTGACCTTATTTCCTTCCCTAGCTTAGATGATAGACATTTACAAAATCCTACTTGTGAGACATTAAGGAATTTAGAAAGTAGTGTGTCTATAGTCATTGTCCTAGAGCTTTTGCAGTCAGACTAAACCTGGTATACCTTATCTTCTACAGAGGTTAATAACCTAATTTTCCTCCAGCTCAGAGATTATTGCCTACATGGTATTTACAAGTAGTCATCTTTATCATTAAAATCCTGTTCTTAGCCATGTTGTGGTTTTTATAATCATTTTAGCAATGAAAATAACTTTCAAAACAATGTTTCAAAGAACCCTAAAAAATTAAACAGATGGAAATGGTTGATTACAGAAGTGTGAGGCTTGAACTCCACCATCTGTGACCCCACTTTCTTCAGTTCAGTCCAAGTAACCTCTGCAAATCCTGTCATTTGTGAACACAAGTGAAAAGACTACTGTAGTATAACATCTGTTGAAATCAAATTTTATGCTTCCTCATCTTGTACTCCAAACAAGTCTATAGAGTTTTTTTCACCTATGGACTGCTTGGAGTTAAAAGTTTCTTTTTGGTTCAGTCGTTCCTATGTCACGAGTATACTCAGACTTTGACAACATGGTGACTACAGGTACTAGACATACTTCCCTTCCGAAAAGAAGACCAAAATAAATAATAAACATCTTGCTATTTGGCTAAGACTACTTGACGGGAGAGTGCCAGAGTGTAGTGCAGAAGAAACAGAGAAGCTGTGGAGTATGGACTCAGGGTGTCCTTGTAAAGAAGGGTAACAAAGTACTTTGCAGCAACCACCTTTTAACCAATCAGGATAAGCTTGAAACTGGGAGAATCTTTCTACAATAGGGAAATGGTAAATAGGAAACCCCCAGCAGCACCATTGACACCATGGACACATGAAGTTTTTGTTACTGGGGAGTTGTATGGCTCCTGAGGGCTCTGAGCCCAGTTTAAGGAACTGTAAGGGAATGTGTAACACCAACTATTCCACAGATGAATCCCAATACACATTGTACCCTCCACTCAGGTTCCTACTATATTGTGA